CTGGGTATGATGCGAGATGTGAATATGAGTAAGCTTTATAGTTCAATCGAACAATGATACTTAATCTCATATTCAAAACGATGTTTTGATTAAATTCTTCGAGTCTAACCTATTTTCAAATGTACAGAAGTCTTTGAAAATGTTTCTAATCAAAACAACATCGAATCAATATGAAATTTTGATTTTCGTATAGCCTTCAAGAGCATTATCATGACTTCGCCTTTGTTAATAATACTAAAGCAAAGCTAGTATCGGTACCCAGTATTTTATCATTATACAATTCCATTTCACTGAATTTCCTGGTTAAAAGACATATTCTGAAGAATAGGTTGGGCTAGTTGTTTTTGTTTCAAAAACAAGAAACAATTACCAAAGAGATTTTCATAAATATCACTATTAATACATTCTACAATTGCAAGGATATGTATCATTGCCATGCATGACATATCTATTATACCAATCAATACAACCATGAGTTAAAATACAAGTGCTAACATAAAGAATATTTTATGCATTTGAATTTTATTTATTAAATTCAATATAATTTTGATTTCATGAACAAAACTAACTTCACTTGAATGTGTATGTGCAAATAATCAAGTGTATAGCAATGATAGATTTCTTTTACTAATCAAGATAATATTTTCGTCGTGTACTAATACAAGAAAAATAGAATAAATTAGTTCAATCTCACTGCATCAGCACTCAATTTCCATAATTGATCAGCGTTGTTACTATCTGTGCATAAGGCCGTTGCTTTAGAAGCTGCACCATTTCTACAATGAAAATATTAGTGTTGTCTGTATGCTTGAATGAAAAATACATACTCAAAAAAGATGTCTGTTGAACGTTGAATTGAAGGTTCAACTGCACCGTAAATAACTGTTTGTGCACCTATTTCAGGTGTTTTAGTAAAAACAGATCTACATAAACATATTATTGGATAGAGAACAAGAAATTTATAAAGTCCAATAGCTTCTCGCATAGGTGATTGAAACGATGTCCACACCCAGCCGGGACATAACGAAAATGTATTAATACCCTCCGCTACATAGAAAACGATCTTAATAAGAACAAATAAAATTATTCAAAAGAAATCATCTACCAAGTAAATCTCGTTTTAACTTATATGTTGATAATATCTGAAGTGCTTTTGATGCTGGATATACACGAAATAGACGAGAAGTTTTATATTGTGTAAATGCATCGGACCAGTCAATTTATCGATATCCTTTATTGATAGAAGAAAAAAGTTGCTTAGAATAGATCTGAATATTACTTTCATACAAACTTCTATGTGCACGTGATGAAACATTAACAATTCGACTTGGACGAGATTGTCTTAATGTATCTCGTAGAAGATTTGTTAATAAAAAATGACCAAGATAATTTGCTTGCATAACAGAATTAAACCCATCTTTTGTAATGAAATATGGTGACCAACTAAGACCAGCATTACACATTAATACATCAAGTCGTTCTTCTTCATTATTATATAAATTAGCAAATTTACGAATAGATTCGAATGAACATAAATCACATTTCATTAATCGAAGATTATTTTCTTGACATTTAGTTTCTGAATATAATTTTTGAACAGCTTGGCGACCTTTATCCATATTACGACAGGCAATAATAACACGTGCACCTATTAATAAAATTTCATGATAAGAATTAAATATTTAATTACAATGTTGGAACCTCGTCGAAGAAGATCTTTGGCAGTTTCATAACCAATACCACTATTGCCACCAGTAATAAGAACAGTTTTGCCTTGCATTGATTGACTACTTGTACATAATTTTTGATTTATCCACAATTTATTAAATAACCATGCCGTTGTTACTGAAAGTAAAGCATTTGTTTGCTCCAAAGAATATGTTAAAGAATAAAGCATACTTGTTCCAGTAAGAATAAAAATACTTTTACGATATTGATTGAATAATTTATGAGTTACTAAAGACAGATTTTCTATGAACTTGAAAGACACTTTTACTGATCTGGACATTTTGAAAAAAAAGATATTTTATCTCAATATCTTTTGTAAATTCACGAAGAATCAAGTATTGCTTCATTGAAAACAACCAATTAACAGGTAGTTTGACAAATCTGTTTAAAACTATCGACCTCTATAGAACATTCTGGGGAATCAAAATCTCACGAAGAAAATATTCTTTTTTCTTTAAAATCCTACTTCAGAATAAATCCATCTGAGAATTGAAGCTTGCATTAAAACTGTTGCTGATACATATCTAAGTGAAACAAACATCTTCATGTCATAAGCAGAGAACCATAGTCACAACGACACTCATAGATGTTTCATGTGTTTTTTTTTCTATTAATTCACATTTATATCCTTAACAGTAAGCCAGATTGTTTGGTGGATGCAGTTGATTAAGAAATGAAAGATTGATATTGACAACAGTACTGCTGCATATTTTTCAATTTCAATTCATTTTGTTATAAAATCTATGTTCCAACTGAGACATGAATATTATGAATAAACTAGCGATACAGAAAATATTGGTGATGATTCTTGAATGAAAACTTGTTGTTGTTATGAGACTGTTTTTCATTCAGTTTCAATGACATCTATTCAACTAAGAGGTCTAGCTTTTGATGTTGTTTATTATTCATGTGAGATACCTTTATGTCCAAATTAGATACGGGTGGTCTTGTTTTCTTCATTGCACATTCGTACCTAACATTACAACTCGACCACATACTACATCCATATCCATCTGCTATACTTTTCTACGTTTATGAATCGAAAATTTGATCTTCGTTTGAAATATTAAATTACTATGAAAGAAGTCTTTTGTTGAGTTATTGTTCGTGTCTTATTCTGAAAGTCGTATATGAGATCATGATCAATGGACGATACACAATGCCATTGGAGTACATTAGATAGAAACTATAATTAATCAATATGATTATGACTAATATAAAAAGAAGTATTCAGTGTCCAAGAAATTGAAACAATTACGGTAACACTAAGTTTTCAGAATATAGATTTCACTCAAATAAAAAAATAAACAACAAGAAAATGTGTCGTCAGTAAATAGTCGTACGTATGATACTAGTGTTAAGGGTGTGCTATGTTGGTGTAGTAGGAAGAATTTTAACAACATCCACATTCGAACTACCTTAAAAATAAATTATTTCTATCCATGGATCATTAATTGAAGAATCTTTTGCAAAACCATGTTTGTCTTGAAATGCAATCATAAATAAACTAGCTACTCTAGCATGTATTAATTCAATTAAATTTGAATTAATACCATGTTTGAGATTCTCATTCTTCTTGTAAATATTTAATTAAATTTTCTTTTTCATTTTGTTGAATTCTGATGAAATAATCTAACTATAAAGTTTCGATAACAAACGTAATAAATAAGAATATTTTTTTTTGCTTTTTACCAATCAGTATTGTTTAACGTATGAACATCATGAGTTCCTGTATAAGCAATACAATTTTGAATATAATATGTCGTAAACACAACAATATACATTGCATAAAAAATCATATTTATCACATAGATCAAATGATTCTTTTATTCAATAAGCTAAATATTTTGAAAATCAAGAAAATGAAGCTACTTTTTGTTTATATTTTTACCACTATTACTGAACATAATGGATCATTTGAATCTAATATGATATGAATGAATATACTTGGACGGAATATTTACGTCCATATTCTACGGTCTCTGAATTGCAAGTTTTATTTTTACGTTGTTTGTTACATTGATTTTACTGCATCGGACAACTATATATATGCGGTTTTCTTAGTTGATGCCGGAGAGTATATAAGATGTGTTGACATCATGTTGAACTCAGCATTAAATAACTATTATGTTGACTTCATCGTTATAAAGACAGTTACTCCGGTT